CTGTGCCACCAAAATAAAGACTCTGGATTAAAAACTCTCCATCAGGACCCGCTCCTTTCTTCATCTCGCCTTAAAGGTTTCTCCAGCTCAGGAAAGCCTGAGGAGTGACCCCCTCAAAGAAAGCTCCAGCCCACAAGCACTGGAGCTCGGGGCATGCCCGGACTTGTCCCCACGTGCTCAGCTGCAAGCACAGGCACTGAACAGCGTCTCTGGGGAGAAAACACCACAGGTGCTGCTATTTGGTCAGCAGCCAAGGCCAGACAGACCAAGGCAGTCCCGTCAGTAATATTGGTACACTCCAACAGGGGTGGTACAAAGAGACATTGGCAGGGAACTCACTGGAACAAGGGGCTGGTATTAAGGGGGATTGACATGCATGGGCTGGGCCGAGGGGGGATTGACACAGAACATTTGACAGCAATGGGCAGGGTTAGGTGAGACAGACAACTCAGGGGGAGGTTACAATTTCAGGGATAAATCATTAACTCTGGGGAGTAAGGGAGGTACAGAACAGTCCATGAAACCTAAAAATGCACCACAACACCTCTCAAAGGCTGTGATGAGGGCAGCGAGTTCAGCAATTTGAGGGGATCCCTCAACAATCTGGATGTCAGATTCCCACTTCTGCATCAGAGGATCCCCCCCAGTCATCACTGACTTGTGGGATGCTCCTGAGCTGTGTCTGAAAATTGTCAATGCCTTTACAGGTTTTCTATTATGGTCTAGTTTTGGGAAGAAATTAAAAACTGAATTGAACAGTTTATGATTTGGTGGGTGGATGGAAATTTGGCCTGGGTAGCTATCCAGGCTGAACTAAAGTTGTTTGTCTGGAGCAAATTGTCCAGATCTCTGGTTTTCAATGGCACATTGACCTGTGAAGTCATACCCAGCAAGGGTGAGGAGGTGTTCTGTAGCTCTAACAATCAGTTGTGCCTTGAGTTCCTGTGGAGTGGTGATTGTTTTGGTCGGGTGACGGTGGAGAAAACCCTGCTCGATTATGAGGAGTGGATGTCTCAGTTGCGTGTCCCATTGGAATATTAGTGTGTGGACTCTGGGTGACTTACCCAGAATTATGAGTCTGAAGGGAAGCATCGGATGTGTTCGATGAGGAGAGGGCTTTTTGCACTGTTTTGATGGATTCCTGGGCCTCCTGAGTGATGCTCCGCCCAAAAGATGATGGCTACTCCCTCATCTCCTCCATCCAGGGCACTTCTCATCTGCTGACATTTCTTCACCTACTCAAGCCTTCTTCTTCTTTCCCATCCTCTGTCCCCTCTCAATTCTCAGCTGGGGAGGATCAGTGTTTTTACAGGTTCCAAAGGTTCAAAAAAGGTTAAAAGCTCAGCCTGGTCTGCCAGCGGCTGGGCACCTTGCCCCCCCACTTCTCCTCCTGGCTGTGGTGCCGGCACAAGATATCAAAGTTCCAGCCTGCACAGTCTCTATCATTCTCACCCGGGGGGGCTGCCCAAACCATCCCAGATCTCCTCCACCCCTGGACCTTGCAGGGGCCC